AGCAATAGAAGCTGTTCGCAATAAGGAAATGGGATGGTTAAAAGCTTCTAAACAGCTGAATGTACCACAAAGAACTTTAAGACGATTAGCCGATGAGAAATATGGTTCTCCCGAAAAGGCTGCTTCTTGTAAACATGGAAGGTTTCCTGTATTTAATGATAAATTAGAAGAGGAACTGGTTCAGTACTGTCTCATAATGGAATCGCATTTTTATGGTCTAACAAGGAAGGATTTACGTAAAATGGCATTACAATTAGCCATTAAAAACAAAATAAAGCATCCTTTTAATAATATAATGGCTGGCAAAAAATGGCTTACTTCGTTTTTAAAGAGGCATCCTAGTTTGTCAATTCGGAAACCTACAGGAACATCCTTTGCCAGAAAGGAAGGATTTAATAAAGAAAGTGTGAACAAGTTTTTTGATTTATTGGATGCTGCTTTTGATGAGTATAATTACCCACCAGATCGTATTTTTAATGTTGATGAGACGGGTTTGACTGTTGTCCCAAGCAAAATTCCTCTAGTTATTGGAAGAAAAGGTAAGCGTCAAATTGGTACGATAACATCAGCGGAAAGAGGATCTTTAATAACAATCATTTGCGCGATGAATGCTACTGGAATATTTGTTCCCCCAATGGTTATATTTCCAAGGAAAAATATGACAGACGTGTTAATGAGAGGTGCCCCTTCTGGTTCAGTTGGTGTCGCACATCCATCAGGATGGGTACAAACTAACCTATTTACCAAATGGTTTGAACATTTTATTGATAAAACTAAACCAAGTAAAAATGATCCTATCTTATTATTACTTGATGGACATTATAGTCATACAAAAAATATTGAATTAATAGATCTTTCGACAAAACATTTTGTAAAAATAATTTCGCTTCCTCCACATACGACACATAAACTTCAGCCACTGGATAAATCTTTTATGAGCCTATTAAAGACATACTACTCAGAAGAAATTAGAATATGGACACGTACAACAGGAAGACCGATTACTCAATATGATATTATGGATCTACTTGGCCGTGCTTACATCAAGTGTCAAACTGCTGAAACTGCTGTCAACAGCTTTAAAGCAACAGGAATATACCCTCCGAATCGCAACATTTTTTCTGATATGGATTATTTAGCGTCACAAGAAGAGATAGAAGAAGTACATTCTGAAAATGTTTTGCCTCTAACTCCAGTGCTCGCATCTGATGAAGTTTCTGTTAATAGTAATATACTTAAACCTTCCTATTCTACAATATCATCTATTGAGTTACAACCATCTACATCATATAACATTTCTCCGTTTAAAATTATGCCATTAACAAAAAAGCGACGAAAAGTTTCATCTAGAGGTCGTAAACCTTCTGAAGCACAGGTTATCACATCATGTACATATCGAGAAAAATTAAAACAGACAATAAATGAGAAGAAAAAACAAGACTGTAATGAAAAAACAAGAGGTCGAGGAGGAAGTCGAGGAAGAGGTCGAGGAAGAGTTCGAGGAAGAAGTCGAGGAACAGATAGTTCACACTGTCAAAATTCGAATCAATTCGCTGGTCGAGATAATAAAAACGATGTTTTGTCTATAGAAACATCATCTGATGATTTAAATATATCAATAGATCTTACAGACAATGATACAGTTTGCATTTTTTGTAATGCACTTTATTCTAAAAACATTAATGGAGAAGAGTGGATTCAATGCATGTCCTGTGAACAATGGGCACATGTTGAATGTTCTGATGTAAAGGGTGACTATTTTATTTGTGATTTCTGTCAATAATATTTTTATATTCGTTCTTTTTCAGTTAAAAAGAAATCGTTATTTAAAATGCAATTAAAAATATATTAGTTTTATAAGGATATAAAGACTAAAGATATGCTGTACATTCTGTACAAGCATGTGATACATGCTTTAATGCGCAAAATAACTATTTTATTTGTGATTTCTATCAATAATATCTTTATATTCGTTCTTTTTCAGTTAAAGAAATTGTTATTTAAAATGCAATTGAAAATAGATTAGTTTTATAAGGATATAAAGACTAAAGATATGCTGTACATTCTGTACAAGCATGTGATACATGCTTTAATGCGCAAAATAACTATTTTATTTGTGATTTCTATCAATAATATCTTTATATTCGTTCTTTTTCAGTTAAAGAAATTGTTATTTAAAATGCAATTGAAAATATATTAGTTTTATAAGGATATAAAGACTTAAGATACGCTGTACATTCTGTACAAACATGTGATACATGCTTTAATGCGCAAAATAACTAATTATTTGTGATTTTTCTCAATTTGAAATGTTTTATTTCTGTAGCCTTTGAATGTATCATTTACCTATAAAGGATTAAAATCATATAAGTCATATTTTAGTTTTGTAAGGTTAAGAGTAGATTGTACATTCTGTGCGTTATTAATAAGATATAATTATTTTATCTGTAAAGTTTACTTAAAATCAATAACATTTTAGTTTTGTCTCTAGTCTTTAAATTTTTTTTTTTAAAGCAAGTGCAATCACAGTTTTTTGTTTACAACACAAAGATTATATTTGCTGTATGTTATGTATAACACAACAATAAATGTGTTGGTGCATGAAATAATTTTTGTGTATTCCTATAATCTTCTCTATTCGATTTAAATAAATCATTAATTTTTTAAATAAACTTTTATTTTTATTTATGCAGTTTAGTGGCTTTTGATTGGAAATTATACTTATTTCACACATATGTACACGAAACGACTGAATATGGTAGCAAAAAGCGTCGTTCTCTGTCCCATACAGCGAGATATTAATAATTACAGTTATTTAGGTTAGAATATCTGTCATACGAAATATATGACATAAGCATGCACTGCGGTCACATGCGCATGCTCTGTGGCCATATACGCATATGTCAGTTTTGGGGCCCATTTTGTCTGACGCTCGTTTTCGCCTATTCGATAAAAAAGTTAATTATTGCAAAATTCTTAACAGTATTATCAAAATTGCTATAGAGCATCGATAGAAGACACTTTCCTGTTTACATTTATATCTCCAAAGATTTATTTTCTGCTTTTGTCTAAAAATTATAGTCTAAAAACAAAATAGTATGTCGGTATCGATGACCTTCCTCTATTATAATAATTATTTATATCAATATCAATGTTCAGATTTTAAATTATATGTATATATATGTGTATGTGTATATATAATACATATATATTGTGTGTGTATATATATATTATACATTTATATGTATATATTTGCAAAAAAGCAACGCGAAAAAAATTCTATATTTCCAGATTTAATTAAAAGTTAATAAATAATTGGCTGCTAATACAAAATATTGTATTTGCGAATATAATATAGAAAACCTAATGCTAATTGCAATTAAAAAATATTGATTTTATTATTAATTATTTTAGAGTAGAGTTTTATTTAAATTTTTTAAAAATCATTTTAAACTTGATATACTTTTTAAAAAATTTAAATAAAACTACTCTAGAATAAGAGAAATCAGTATTATATATTTACAATATTATTGAAAGCTTAATAATGTTACGTCCGGAGGACTCCACGATTCTTTTCTTTCGTGGAACGTTAGATAGATAACAAGTAACTCAAAAAAGAACATGGCGGCCTGCTATCAAACTTTGATGAGTTTCTCGATGTCAAAAGTAATGTCAAAACTATTACAGAGTAGGTATAACAACACATGAAATACAAAAGTATTGCATTACAACCGTATCTTTAAAAGCTCTATAACGAAGTGAATACACAGAATTATGTAGAAATGTAGAATTTTTCTTCTTTAATTTTTAATTCTCTCTCTGCCAAACAATGGTTAAAGCGAATATTTAAATTAATCATTATCGAAACACTGTTACATTTTGTAGCACTTTGTGAACCAACTGACAAACAACATACATGATAACTATGATAGTTATACTTGATAGGCTGCTTTTAATCTAAACTA